AAAATGATGAGTGTGTTGCCAGATTTCAGCCTGGTTTTGCTGTCAGTTTAAAAATGTTTTAAATAGCAAGGAAGCCACAGGATACAGCTATAAGTTCACTGGCACACTGTGGTGAGTTTGCTATTTGTTTGAAAAAGTGCAAGTATTGCATATAAAAAGGTTTGATCAGCTCTATTTTACAGATTAAGAATATATCAAAACATACAGAAAGAATTTCTTGCCAATTTAATATTTTATATTATGTTATAGCATCACTGTTAGAATCCAGGCAGAGGTAGACTTTACTTTACTGACTTGTAATTAATGAACTTAGCTTTCTACTGAACCAGCACCTAGTGGCCATTGTGGGTATTGCAGTTTATAGGTTAACGGCTTCTTTAATCACAATGGTAAACAGGAGTTTCTGGATTTACGCTGGGTTGGATTTAATTTTATTAAATTATTTTTCAACAATAAAGCAAAAAGAAAGAAAAACAAACAAACATACAGCATCCATCATCCACAGACATGCAATAAATAATACATAATAGAAAAAATATTAACAATTACAAAATACTTAACATTGAAAATAACCAGACGCATGGAGTTTTCTACTTAAACACATATATGAAGAAAAGACAAGCAATAGGCTGAATCCAGTGCATGCTTAACCTATATTTATCTAATTAATAAAAACTTATCATTTAAGATTGCCTCGATTTGATCCCAGGTATTAGCTTGGAGTCCCACTTAGGTCATCAGAAACTCACCTTCTAATACTTTAAGCTAAGCTCTGACTTAAACCTTAGCTTAATTTTTAATAATCAGAAAGATGTATGTTCAAGATGTATAAAACTGTTACCTAAGAAGTGTTTTTCACAAACCACAATCTTCACAGTGAAAGAGACTGTATTGGATTGGCTCCTGGGCCACGAGAGCTGCTGAAACACCGCTCCTTTTGATATATGACGTTCAAAATAAAGCGCTAAGTTTAAGAAGCATCATTCTGCATTGCATTGTTGTCAGTAGCTGTGCTTCCATTAACCATATAGATGCGCAATTTGACATTTCGAAAATAAATTAGCTTAATGGAAACGTGCCAATTTCCAAAAAATCTCCAGTTTTTCTGATTGAAGGAAGTGTTTTTTTTTGTTTTTTGCTTAATCAAAGTTAGTTTATTTCACAAAATTGCAATGGAAACTATTTTCTGTGCATCACACGAGTCATGTGATCAACAACCGGATGTTAACACAAGCGCAAACCACGAAGAAGAATATGCTGGAGAACCATGTTTTTTTTTTTATTGATTTATAGAAAAAACAAAATTATTAACCCGTGATTTTAATCATTTCTTATTTAATGTTATTTTTTATATTAGTGGGACATTGAAAAATTTCTGCACACATTTGTAATAGAAACGCAGCGACTGAACAAGAAAAAAACCCCATTATAGCCTAAAGGACGTTGAGCTCAACATACTCAGTACATGTTTTCCAATGACATTTTTCCTGGTTTTCTTGGCCTCACTCCTCCTTCTCCCGGTGTGAATACCTGGACCGGAACGTTGCCTGGCTCTGCTTTGTCAACAGCCTCCTGGTAGAGATTGTTTTATGTGCAGTCTGTCAGGCCTTGCAGCTACTGCAGGGCTTGGCAGCGTTTCTGCAGACAGCTTCTGTGAGAGGAGGTTTTAGTTAATTTTAGCCTGGATGCACAAGACAAAATGCAGGACTTGAGACAGAAGAAGGAAAGCTGAAATGGAAGTGAAAAATTTGTCCTATGTAATAGATAAGTACGTCTTTAAATTAAATTATATAGAGCATCTTTTCACATTAATGCAATTTGATAGCATAAAGATAAAAAAAACTGCTTTCATTAGATTGATAAAATATTTAAACAACTAATTTAAAAGGTTCTGCTATAGACGGCCTTGTTTGACACATATCAGGAATTAGATTTTCTTGCGCTGTCTATTTACACTGCCAAAGGCTGACCACTTTTCCTCACTTTCTTCTTCTACTACTCTCCGATTTGAAATATTTTCTGTTATTTCAACTTTTAACTTTGTGTTTTCTCTGTTTTTTTTCTCTCTATACAAGCTACACCTGGTCTGGCATCCTGTCTGATTAAAATTAAAATGAAAGAAACCAAAGACGACGCTCGTTTTGACACTACAGAACTTTACTTGAATTTGATCCAAGTTCATCGTCTATACAGGATTTATTTACAGGTTCTGAAATCAGGGAGGGAAGAGGGCGGGAAAAATCCAGAAATAAACAAAACAAAACAAAAAAACACTAAATACAACCGAGGAATCGGCTAAAAGCATTTACAGGTATGTCATTTAATAATGATGCTCAACAGTTAGAGATGCAGTGTCCTCTGCTTTAAAAAACATCTTATATCACAACATGAGGTAGGAGAACAGTGTCTCTAATTCATGCAAGAACAAAAAAGTCTCATCACACTGTAGTATTGGCAACGTAGTATGAAATGGTCACACACACAGACACTGCGTTTCATGTTTTCAAACAGCACTGATGGGAAAGCAACAGATTTAGGTTTATTTTTGCGTAAATTCCACCTTCGACTGTCAATCTGAGCCTCCTGCAGTCATTTTCCAGGCTCCTTCTTTTCATTTTTATCGGTTTGGCAAAATTCACAACTGTACAAAATACATCTAAGCTCTCAAAGCGCTGCAAAAAGCCAAAGAAAGGCCCAGCATGCCATCTTAAAAGGGATTTTTTCCCATCCTACTGGTTAGTAATAGATGCACACTTAAAAAGACTAAACAGCGCCCACTTGTGGTTACAATGCAAACTCCTCTGACAGTACAAAAAAAAAAAAACTTGGGTGAATTTTCTGCTGCAGAAGCAAACAGGAGAATAAAAGTAATACTGATTAGCATCTGATGGGTTAATACATGATTTCAGTGTGGAGAAAAAAAATAGTCAGACCAAATTATTCTACAGTTTACAATCTTCATGATCATACGGTGACTTCATATTCTGGCCAGCCTCTCAACCACAAGGAAGATAAAACTTTGCACATGTTCAATAATTCATGCAGATGAGCCTTTTTAAAAATCTGAGGGAAATCTTCAGTCTTTTTTTTCTAACAATAAACAGATTGTAACTTGGCGACATAAACTTGGAAGGGCAGCAAAACATGCAAACATTTTTTTTTCTTTTTCTTTTTTCTCTCCAAAATGTCATCTTGAACAAATTTCTGATTTAGATTAAGGGAGAAGGTTCAAATAGCAAAAAGGAAATCTGTCATGATAAAATCCATAAAAACAACAGCGTCGGTTCTGAAAGTGGAGTAAAAGTGTGTAACAAAGTATATATATATTTTTTTAGTTTTTAGTTTTATAGTTGATGTCTGAGTAAACCATGCACTTCATTCCCCCACATCCACTCCAGAAGAGTCCTTTTTCTTTTTTTTCTTTTTTGTTTGTTTTTAATTAAAGAAATCAAAACAATTAGACCCACTGCAGCCTCAGCTGTGGTCCAAATCATATAACCTTTTATAGATTATTTATATAAGAACAGTTAATATATTAATGACTACCTTATTTACAAAGTGAATATAAATCTTTCCTTTATATGTTAAACATTTTTCTTTCATCATCTTAATAAATGTTTTCAATGCAACAACAGTAGAGTGTACATTTGTTCCGCCTGCTCTCTGTCCGCTCCTTCCGGTCGGTCTCTGTAAAGGGAGGCTGTGTAAGAAAATCTGCATCGAACAGGATGGAGCACAGTGGAATGTCTTATCAATTTGCATTAATAGCAGATGCATATAAAAGAAAGCTTTTTTTTTTTTTTTTTTTTTTTTTTTTGCCGAGGACGATCCCGTTACACAGTTATTTACACACGCACGCACTCGCACAGACGCTCACAGGGATCTTTTTTATAGTGGCGATAAAAAGCGCTTCAGCCTGGGCATGATGGGATTCCTCCCGGGCATCTGATCTGGATGTGGGTCGTCCACCAGAGGGGCCCCCCGACATCGACAGCTGCCTCAAACGAGGGAGGAGGGGGGGGGGGTCCATCTAAGTCGGGGCCACCCAACCTGCCATTAGCGAGCCTCGGTGCTAAATGTCCACCGCTTCACACTGTTCGTGAATAAGTGCAAACAGAACCCGAAACTCTGCCGAACCGACAGCTTTCACCTGCGACCCGCATTCTTAGACGGCAAGAATGTCTAACAATGAAGAGAGAGGCTCAGAGAGCCGTGACAGCCTGCAGCTTTGATCATCTGCTGGGAACTCAGGGGCCACCGTTCCGCACGGATGGTTGCGACGCACCGACACAGTCCTGTGTGCGCGGACACGTTGCGGGTTCTTTCATGCGTCGTCATGGTAGCGCAGGAAAAGAAACACCTGTGTCCAAACTACAGCATGGGCCGGAGTGAGATCAGAGCAAGGGCGTAGGTTCGGTCTAAGTTTTGGTGGGGACCTTGGTGGGGACCTTGACACCTTACTAAACACCGGACTTTACAACAAATGCGTTGCGTGATAGATATCTAACTTATGGGTCCACTCACTGTACTCACAGCCGGCGTAGCGAAAAAACTTCTAATGTCTGTCCTTTTCTTTTTTGGTGGCGACATGGTCTCGGAGACTCAGAAGGAGACGCGTGTGCCCAACTAGCTGCCGCCTTTTTGCAGCTAATCAAAGAACGTCCGACGATTCAACTGACTCCCCCTCCCCCCCCCCCCAGCACCGTTCCGACACGGTCTCGGAGGCTCATAATAAATGTCAAACTAAGAAGCTTCCGTTCCGCGCACCGCCTGTTGCTGCTAATCAAAGATCGTAGATCCACGTTCTTTGAGCCAATATGGCAAAAATTGGTCGGGACTTTTTCATATCCCGTGAATATTGGTCGGGACATGTCCCTACCGTCCCTACCCAAACCTACGCCCATGGATCAGAGTGTGATAAAGGGTGAGTAAATATACCGTGGGTTGAAGGTTTTAATAGTAGTAATTTAAAAAAGGTTTTAAAAAAAAAATGAAACTTGTTTTTTTTTTTTTTTTTTTTTAACTCGGTTTCCTGGTTGGGTGTGGTGAGATTTGAGGATTTTATCAATGTTTAATAGAAAACTGGCAAACTCCCGTGAAGCTATATCATTTATAAGATGTATTTACTGTTACGTTGGTTTTATTGCATAGATTAGAGGAAAAAATCTAAAATAAGCACTTTGTAAGCTTAGTTGCTGCTGTCATTCTTCTCTTCATAGACTCACTAGTGAATAAAAAGCTTTCAAATATCTAGTTAATTGGTCAGAGGATGACTTTTCAAGTTCTACAAACCCAAAAGCCAGTACACAGCGTCTGGACCTTTGGTTATTTTCAAACAATTGCTAACTGGAGGGGTAGACTCTGCTGAAGTTTTAAATTGTACTCAATTGCTAAAGTTTCACGCTTACCGGAAATTACTTGCTCTACAAACAACCATCCTCCACTGCAAAGAGAGAAGTTGATTAAAAAATATTTGGAAGCGTGGCCGACATGGACAGAGCGGCTAAGTTCACTTCCTCCGCTGCCATCGCTAAAGCTAAAGGCAGACTAAACCAGCGCATAAAAACGACGTCATCGTCTCCTTCTGTTCGCTGATTGGCCGTTTTGGAATTCTACAAGAAATCCAGGCCAATGGGAGAAAGCCCAGGCTAACGGTTGAAAAGTTGTAGCCTACTTTCGGTAGAGGGATAATGTTTTTGTTTATTCTGATCACTCAACAACTTTTTGTGGTGTCATGAAAGGATTTGAACCATAGGAACCAAATGACGGAGAAATTTTAGCAGTTTTAAAAATGGGAATGTTTTAAAAACCTAGCATAGCTCGATGTCTGAATGACCCGCGCCCAGACCGAGGAAGACCAGCAGCTGGTCGGTCGAGTGAAGAGGAAACCAATCTGCCCTCCAGGCTGTAGCATTTCATAGCTAAGTACAAGAAGTGTAGAGGGTCTTTGGGGAGAGGTCACACTCAGTCACTTCAACATCAGCGTCATTACTGGCATATTTTCATGAGGTCCTACAACATCTGCGAATGACAAATGTCTGCTTTTGTACAGTAAAGGTCTTTTTTCCTCCATAAAGACTTAATATTTTAACATGATTATATTTATTTGTGTTTATCAGGACTCCAAAAGAAAATATATATTTTTATATATATGTATATATAGAGAGAGATGTCATTTTAAACTCCTCCACTCGCTGAGTCTTGAGGATCTGAGCTTCATGTTTGCAAAGTCTGTAGGTACTGGCAGCCGTGCCAGGTAGTAGCATAAAGTGTCACCAGCAAGGAACGGTGGAGTCCAAAATTCAGAGTGTTCAGCTCCAGGAACCAGGGAGCAGGAAGGACGATGATTCAGGCGGGAAAGGATAGTGATGGAACTTCCTGTCTCTAAAGCAGCTGTTAGTTTATTAAAAACTATAAATTAAATCAAACATACATGCCCAAAAAAAAATCTTTAAATACTGTTTAAAGAGAGGACTGGGAATATATATATATATATATATATATATATATATATATATATATATATATATATATATGTGTATAAAACATAAATCTTGTAATGTATCTTTTAAAAACGGGGATCAGAAAGGGAGCCTGCAGAGGGTCAGGCTGAATTGTTTGTGTCTGTAGAGTTGGCGATTGATGGGAAGAAAATGTCGTAGTTACTTCAGGCCGGCCACAGGGGCCTCGCCCATGGAGGAAGAGCAGGGAGGGGAGTGGGCGTTCAGGGGTCCAGTGGCGGGGGTGAGAGGGGGAGAGGGGCTGCCTCCCATCATGCCAGACTGGGCCATCTGCTGCTTGAGCTGGGCGATGGTGTGCTCCAGCTTCTCCCGTGCCTCCCGCTCCCGGTGAAGCTCCTCCTGCAGCTCCTGCCGGTCGGCCTCGGCCCGCTCCAGCCTCTGCCGCAGCTCCGACAACTGGGAGGAGATGGAGATAGAGGTCAGGTTAGGATCAAACGCCGCAGAAAACCCACTGCTCAACATTTACACAAAATTTTACCAAACATTTTTGGTCTGGTTTCAAATGCAAATATATTGTATGAAGACAAAACTAAGTAACCAATGAATCAATCATTATTACAGGAAAGGAGCTGACCTCAACATACAACATGCAAATTGATTAAAGACATGTAAATCATCAAACTAATAATGGAAAGACATGATACACATTTCATTTATTTTATTCAAGATTTCCGCAGAACTTAATTAAAACCAAATGAGGTAAAACATCCACAAAAGATGGCTTTAGATCCTTATAATAGTAATAAAGCTGCAACATAACACAGCAGAAATCCAGCTTTTAGCAGCACTTTCACTGTTAAGCCACATTCATATTCAGGGTGAAGCAACTGGGACTGTTTACCATTAGCGCTCATATTTCACAGCTCAGAAACGGACAGTGATGTAATTCTGTTTAGAAAGTATCTCTGCATGGTAAACAAGACTAATGCTGCATGTCTGTCCACAGACTTCATTTCTTTCTAGAGCAGCTAAGATGAGGAGATAAAGTTGGGAGCTTTTCAAGAATCTGCTGAGAAGTGGAGTTAAAAGCCGTGTTGGTGAGGCTGGATGTGAAACTGCAGCGCTGAGCTCAGGCCAACATAACTCAGTCTGTCTCCAGGTTTAATCTCCTGGAAACCCAAACAGCATCCCGCGAGTGTGTTTTTATATTCTTACACAACACTCAGAGTTCCAATAATACTGGTCAAACATCTCCAATATCTGGCATAACTACAGAAGAAAGAGTGAAATATGTTTCATACACCAAAGAAAGAAAAAAAAAGGCTTTCAAGGTAAAAGAAAAAGACCCATAAAACAAAGTTTTATGTTGCTGTAATTCAGTGTGACTTATTTAGAACTGGTGATGTGTTTAGAGCTCCTACCTGAGCGGTGTAGTGGGCCTCCTGCTGCCGCTGGGCCCCGGGTTCGCAGGCGCAGGCCTGCTGCCGGAGCTGCTCCAGACGGCTCTCCAGCTCCAGCTGCTCCTGGCGGGCCTGTCCGAGCCGCCGCGCCTGCTCGCTGTGCACCGCCTCCAGCTCGCTGCGGAGCTCCCGCTGCTCCGCGCTCAGCTCCCGTAGCCTTGCTGCCTCGCCCCCACGCAACGCCTCCAGCTCCTGGACGCACAGAATTCAAGACAAGAACGATCTGAGTAACGGTGATAACGAACCCCTACACTGAGCCTGCAGGAGAAATATTTTGCAATACAGCTTCTCCTCAGGGAGGTTAGACTTCGTGCCTCTACCGCTGCCCAAAACCTGACAGAATGTAAAACTGTATTTGTAACCTCTGACTTGTATTTGCACATAGCTTTCAATCATTTCTGCAGATAAAATAGGATTATTTTGTCCACTTTTACTCTGATGTGCCAAAATAATTGAAGTCTGACATCTCAGAGTAAATGCAGCTGCTTTGTGAAACCCGCAGAGGTTAATCAGAGAACATTAGTGACAATTATGTCCTCCTATGAGAGTTGTGTCTTATGTTTTAAATAACAGTTAATCCATCATACAGAAATCGAAGAACTAAAATAACAAATGGGCTGAATAGGAGAGGATTAATCTAACAAACCACTGAAAGGCCTAAGATTACTCTGCAGGAGCTGCATAGATCCTCAGTTCATGTGGGAGAGTCTATTAGCATAAGAATTATTAGACTTGCATCATAATTCTTGTTTAAAGTTGTTTAGCAAACATGTGCAAGAAGATATTTGGTCAGATGAGAGCAAAATAAAACTATTTGTGGAGAAAAATTAACAATGTGTTATGATATATCATCTACTGTGAAACATGGAAGTGGCAGCATTATGCTGTGGGGATGTTTTTCTTCAAGAGGGACATAGAAACTGCTTGTTGGGAAGATGGCCAGAGATTGAGCTAAACACAGCAAGAAAAGTAGTTCTGGTTGATGACCTTGAATACATGGTGAGTGCAAATGCACACCACACTTTTAAGATTTTTACACAATGAGGCTTCGAACTTTGAACAATGTACTTTGTGTTGAACTATCCCCAAAGGTCTGCAACCTGCGGGTCTGGAGCCGCAAATGGCTCTTTGGACTTTCAGCAATGAAATGAAATAAATTTGTCTCTTCACAATAGGTTAAGTATCATTTGTTGCTCTGAATGAGTTTTATGTAGCTGGACATGTAAAACACATTGAAGTTTGTTTCTGTGACTTTAAAAAGTTCAGGAAATATCAATAATTTTGCAGTGTATGTGAAATTTTGTAAAAAAAAAAAAAAAAAAAAAAATGGGAAATTAGGGGGCAAAAAAAAAAAAAAAATTTCCTAATGCAAGTGTTTGGATGGAGATAAGGCAGGGTGGAGGTTGAGTTGGTGTCATCTCCACGTCAACGACGCCTTTAATGATGGCAACAACGGTTCCAGTCGGGTTTATCTGCAGCTCGTTTCTGTTTCCATCCACCAACTCACCATTTCCAGCTGCAGCTGCTTCTGCAGGGTGGAGTTGAGCTTCTCCTGCTGCCTGTTGTACATCTGCATGATCTCCACGACGATCCTGTCCTTGTCGTCCTCCACACCCCCGACCGCCGACGCCGTGGCGACGGCGGCGCTCATGTCCTTAGACGCCGCTTCCGTTTCCGACGACAGCATCGACGCAGACCGAGGAAGAGATGCTGGAGGAGGAGTGTGGGAGGGGATGTGGGTGGCTTTCTTGCAGCACGGGCTGCTCGTCTCCATGGAAACTGCCTGGGTTTGGCTTTCCCGCTCAGTGGCCAAGACAGCAGCCGCCACGCTCTGGGATTTGGCCTCCTCGGCACCGGCCGTGACAGGAGGCGACGCGTGGAGATCTGAGGAAGGCAAGAAAGAGAAGAGAGTGAGGACGGGAAGAGAGAAGATGAGATGAAAAGAAAAGCAGAGGAAGTGGTTGAAAGACAAGAAGAAGTGTGAGTCGTGTTGGTGTGCACATGCTTAGTAACACCCTCACACAACCTCATAAAACATCGCACTTCTTCCGAGGAACCAAACACTCGCCCACAATTTCTGTTTGTGTTTGCCCTCAGACACAGATACAGGAATAAAGGTGAGTTGTGTAGGTGAGCTGCTCCGCTGCATCTCCTTGTTTTTTTAAACTGCGGCTTGTTCCCCTGACTGCGGTCTTTAAGGTGTGTGCATCACGGGAAACGTTCGGCTGGATGCTAATCTCTGGCACAAATCATTATTCAAATTGATTCAAAGCCACAGAGCTAATATTAGATCCTCTATTCAAACCAGCAGTTTGGTAAAGAGGAAGGGGAACACTGCACTACGGCAGTTCACGGCCTACTTTCTACAACGTCTTAAAGGAGAAAAATCCAGATTGGTCTGGAAAAAGGCAGGGAGGAAGGATGAAAAGCTCACTCTGAGAGGAGTGGGCGGAGGATTTGACAGCAGACTGAGAGATGAAGGGAGCCAGAGAGGGAAGAGACAATGATGGATGGATGGACGGAAGAAGAGAAGTATGGGAACAGACGGAGAGTCGGCTCAGAGAGGTTGTGTTGCCGGCTGCCAGGAAAACAGAGAGAGATGGAGGATGGAGGGAAGGAGGACAGATTGGTTGGAGAGCGGAAAGTGAAAGAGAGAAACACGCAGCCTGGCAGTCAGACAGCGCGTTAATAACGACAGACTGAAACCGTTCCTCTGATTCGTCCTTTTCTTTTTTTTTTTATGTATATATGAATGCACGGCGTGAAAGAGTAGGTCACCAGCGCGTCAGACGTGCGGCAGCCCGCAGTGTTGTTATCCGAAGGTCAACGAGTGGCTCCGTGCATGGGAGCGGGCTGCAGAGTTTTCAGTGCTGGAAGTTGCTGCTGAGCATGTGTCAGCTCGGAGTGAGCTGCGTGAACTTGATACGCCTGTCATTTATGCTTATGCTGCATGCAAACAGCTGCTGCTTCGCTGTATTGATGTCACGTATTTATAGCAGACACACATCAGACTGTGTCCAATAGGCGTGCAAAGGAGTTCTAATTAAATATGAAGGATTTATTTAATGGGGTAAAAAAAAAAACTGCGTTTGGAAATTACTTATCATTAAATTGGATCAAATTAATATTAATGAACCTTCTGTGTTTCACTCTTGTATTTGCTAACTGCTATTAAAATAAATGTACTCTGTATTAAGAGTTTTCATCAGCTTATTAGCTTCATAATTATCATTTGAGTCAACTGCTTACGGATTTGAACATATGGTACATTCATCCAACATTTATTTGAGTTCCATATCTGTAAGTTATTTATTTATGTTTTTTTCATCTAAAAAGAAAATTTTGGGCGTTTTTAACTGAAACACCCTCCATATTAACACCTGTGATAGAGACGTGTAAAAAGCCTTAAAATAAACTTTAATCTTTCATTGCAGCAACAGAATCAACCTTTAATTTCCCCTAAGTGCAATAAATGAACGTTTTACCCACAATAACTAAAATTAGCAATAAATTAACAATAAAATTATTGTTTAAGACAATTAAAACTACAACTATTTTGGGCCTTAATATTTTACTCCGATTAGTCTGCATTTTTCAGATTTTAGACTGCCTTAATTTAATTTTTTTTGTTTTTGTAAACCTTGGCTTTATTTCAGCATGTTTCTGCAGAAGAAAGCGGCATAAAGTGTGTAGATGTTCCTCTTCTTGTCCCCAGTAAAATATTTTTAAACAAAAAGTGGATTTTTGTCCAGTTAAGTTCACAGTTCGCTGCGTTTACTACTGACCCATTGGTGGCTCTTCGTGGCCCAGCATCCTGCGGCTGTAGTGATGCTTGAGCAGCGCGCCAAACACCTCGGGGCTCATCTCCGCCTCCCTCCTCAGAGAAACGTTGGGAGCCACCATCTTATCGTATGTGTACAGGTAATAACTGGAAAACAGAGGTGAAGAGTTAAAAGATACAATACTTTGGTTTTACAGTATTTTATCAGGATTACATGTGACAGAAACACAAAGCAGTAGATTTGGAGTAGTCCCACAGCATGATGGTGCCACTACCAGGTTTTCCAATCCCTTTTGGTGAATTTAAAAGTTTTATTTAAAAAATGCAACTATGTCCTTAAAAACTAGACCTTAAAAAGCTTAGAATTATATCATATTAAAGCTAACACTGATAATGGATGCTATTTACTACTGAGGTGACTTCAAAAGACAAAATGCTTTATTTTTAGGGGTATGAAAGTAAAAATGGGATGAATGCAAACATGCCCCACTTTTAACATTTTTATTTGTTAAAAAAAAAAAAAAAAAAAGTTTACAATCATGTTGTTCTATATTATCTTTAGGCCTCATAAAGGTGGTTTAGTTTCCTTTCAGCAATTTCGCCAAAAACTATAAACAGCAAAGAGTTATGGGCTCCAGAATGCTGTGTTGCCCTTTACAACAAACACGTCTGAAACAAAGAACAATCTCTGTTTGCTATCTCTTTTAGCTCAAAGCAGCGCGATAAATCTCAGAACATGGGCTAAACAAAACGCCGCGTGGAATATGGATATTCCTTATCGTGTGTTGCCAGGATCTCAGCCCAAACAGACCTTCGGCTTATCACAAACTTCCAGGTAGTGGCGCACAACGGGGAGACAGATACTGCCTGGAGATGCTCCGAAGCCACTGAGTCAACACTCATCTGTGTGGCCCCTCCCCCCACCAGCGCCGAGGCTGGAGCAGTGAACTAGGTTAAGCCTGACAGCTCAGCGGGGCTCTGTTCAAAACTCCACCAACCAAGACATTCCTGCTCTCCCTCTGGATGGGAACGAAGCGCTGCCTGTCTGCCTGTGCGGGGATATGAAGCTCCGTCACTTAAAACAACTGAGACCTGATTGAATAATGCAAGGCAGGCTTGCATTAGACGCGTGCCCCTCTAGTGGATCCCTGCGACAACCGAAATTGAACCTCGTCTGGCTCTAAACTGGTGCTCTAATCTGGTCTGCGCATGTAAATGTGAAATCTCATGATGCCACCAGGTGATCGTGGCTCTAATCTCTCCCTCCCATCCTCTAATTCGTCTAGCCTGATGTCTGCGAGAGTCTCCGCGGGAAGCAGTCAGACGCTGCAGTGGCTCCGTAAACCCTTTAATTCCAGGCTTTAATCTGGGAGAGATTACCGTGCTACCTAAAATGGAGCTAGAACTAAACAGACTGGAGCAACTGTCTGGGGAAGGAGAAGCAGTGAAGAAGAAATAGAGAACGACGGATGGACGGCCATATTACGGCAACTGGGAGTAAAATGGCAGAGGTCTACTACAAACATACCATTGTATCTGAACTAAACAATACTAGACATAACGGTGCAGAAATGGGAAATTTCTAGATTTCAGATTGCATCACGGCAGGTGAGGTGCAGTACCTGGGATGGACCAGGGTGGGGTGTCCTGGCTCCTCCTTGATGTCCGTAAAAAGACGGTTGAACATCAGAGCCGGTGGGGATGGTTTCCCCTGTGGGAAAGAAAGAATAAAAAAGATAAGAACAGCATAAATAGGACACAAAACCACCAAAACACTGTCTTTTTAACATACTGTTATGGTTAGAGATGTTCTATACCAATTTACTGATCTGTGAGGGAAACTAGTGCAGACCAGATGAACAGTGAAACAGCAAAGTGAGACGGGAATATGCTGCACATCTGTCTCATAGGAGCCATAGTGTAATATGCATGCCTACATCAAAACCTACATCAAAACCCACTTGTTTGAGCTAGCATACAGCCTTTAATTATCTTTGTACTCTCTTATAAATCTTGTTTTTTTGTTTTGTTTTTATTACCGGTATGTATTTTATAATCTGCTTGCTTTTATGTCAAGGTGACCTTGGGTGTCCAGAAAGGCGCCTACAAATAAAATGCATTATTATTATTATTATTATTATTGCATGTGAGATGTGAGTTAGGGATTAGGCATCAGCTGAGACGATGCGCATCAGAGGAGAATATAGTCCCACTGAACGGCCTTCATTTTAACTCGGTGAGTGTGGGGGGAGAGTGGCTTAAGAGTCTGGTCCAACAGAACGGAGCACCTTGTGTCCGCTACGAATTAGCGAACACAAGGTGTGAGAAAGGATAGAGGTGAGGGTCATGACCCTTAGGGGTGGCTACTGACCTTTCTCGTAGGCTCTGTGTCGGCTAACTTGTCTGAAGCGGAGCAAATTTCCACCGAGGACTTCCTCAGCTGGCTCTCCTCTTCCTCTCCCGACTTCTAAAACACATGGAGAGAGAGAGACGGCGGGTGAGTTATACCATCCAGAGTTACCAAAGCCAGAGAGACAGGAGGATGGAGAACACACAGAAAACAAAGAGTCGGTCCAACGAACCCATGGAAGTGATTGGCATTAAAAGTGCAGCATGATGTCAACACTTTAAAATGCAGATGATGCACATCTTTACATTACATGAACCCATTCAATCATTGACCAAATCAATCACTTATTACAAGTGGAAACTAGAGATCAGGCAAAAATTCAGGGTGTAGTGATCGACTCAGATCTGAACCTTCAGAGACACATAAAGACAATTACAAAGTCGGTCTTCCATCACCTGAAGAACATTTCCAGGATTAAAGGTCTAATGTCCCAGCAAGATCTAGAGAAACTCATTCACTCATTTATATTTAGTCACATTGATGAAGTCTTCACAGGTCAGCTCAGAAATAGAGTTTTACACCTCACAGAAGATAAGTCGGTCCAGATTAGCAACGGGCCAGTCACCAGTGCAAAAATACACTAGTTTTTTTTTATAAAGTAGCAGTTTCAATTCTGCTAAAATTGTCAGTGAGGTTGTTCTACAACTTAAAACCCTTCAGGAGATGCCAGAGATGGCATCAGAGTGACTAGAGTGTTTCTGGGTGAATGTTGGTCAAAACATTTGATTGGTTGGCCAAAATGAATCAGAATAACTATAAATAAATTATATACTACATCAGCAGGAAAACAGGTAGTTGTTTTTCTCTCTTAAATATAACCAGCTAGACAGTGTTGAGCATTATAGTTTCATGGTAACTACAACAAAACCAGTGTTTTCACAAAAACCTTCATACTGTGAGAGTTTCTAACTGGTCTGTGCCTCGCTGTGATACAACACTGTGGAAAGTAAGAGAAGCCCTATAAATAAACCACAAGGAAACGCCTTGCCGACAGTCAACATGTCTTGTTGTCAGGTGCTTCTGTGCAGACATGCAACGCAGCTGGAGTCAAGCTCTCGCTTCAAAGCACAGATGTACATTAGAGCGTCTGCAGATGTGTTCGTTAAATACCGCTGCTCCCGTCTCTGCTTTTCTGGTTCCGTGTGTGTGTATGTGTTCTGAGCAAACACGGGGCTGTGCTCAGCGAGAGCCCACGAACTGACACAGTTGATGCTTATCTGTGGCCTCACAGCGCTCATGCACTTTGAAGCAAATTGGCAGGTAGCGCAGATAGCACCAGAGGAAAGAGAAGCTCTGGTGAGGTAGGGACAGGCGCAGAGGGGAGATGAAGACCAGAGGAGGAGGAAATAAATGAAACAGGGTTGTAGAAAGCATCAATAATTGACTCCTTCGCCTTTTAAAGCCATCTATGGTGAGCAGACAGCTTTTCAACAGCTGGAGTAAAGGATTTTCCTCCACACTGATGCATTACAGAAGCAAAGAAGAATGTGTGCAAATGAATGTGACACCTAAGTCCCAGTTATACGAGCTGCAGTCCAGCATCCGCCAGCATTCCGCTAGACATCATAATAATTCTCTCTTATCACTTTTATCCAATTTGGAAAACACCATCTTTTACTGCCTGATGCACAACCCCAGGACCTCAAACCTTGCTCAACATCTATCAAACACAAACCCTGCCTCGTGAAAGGGAAGCCGCTTCTCTTGTTTTATTTCCTTGTAAACTGAAGACGCTCTACCTAGTGCTAATCTGTGTGGTCCCTCCTGCCAGCTGAGCAGGGGACTGTCCCTTATTTACAAGGCCATGACTGAATGAGCATGCAAATGGAGGATGGAGCTGGATGTGTAGCCAGGTGTAGTGTGGAAAGCAGGAGGCTCGTCCGCTCCAGAGCGCATTTTGTTGGTGGTTTTTTTCCTTCTTAATTTTTATTTCTGCTCAGAAGGAAGCACTGCAGCGCTGAAAGGAGGGGGCGAGTGAAGGAGGGGGCAGAGGGAGGGCGGGATGATGGGACAGTGAAAAGATGGAGGGAAGGGTTGAGTAATGAGAGTGAGTTGGGAGAAAAAAAAACAAGAAAAAAAACACTGCAGTGGTGGCGCCTTCTCCTCGTCAGCTTCCTTCACTGTGAAGGTTGTGTGTGTGTGTGAAGGGGAAGACAGATGGAGAGCACTGGACTGAACGGACATTAACTTCAGGTCTCTTAGGGGTCTTTCATCTGCTTGACCCCCACAACAGAAGAAGCTCCATTACTGAGACCACTTATCTACTTTGCTCTATATCTGTGCAGACCAATTAGAAGGACAGGGCTGACTGGGATTAGGTTTCATGCTTGGGGCAAACATTGCCAGAAAGAAAATGTTAAAGATTTTTCTCCACCCTTTGTGACAACAACTGACAATCTTCCACATCACTAATGAGAAATTCTGACCCACCCCTCTTTGCAGAATTTGCAGGGGTTTCAAAGTGTTAAAGGCCTGTTTACGGTACATTCACATCCTAAACTAAATTCTGTTTAGTCCACTTTATTTTTTTTAATCAAACTCTAGTTTGTTTGCCTCGAAAGTCTAGTTTATTTAGGAAGGTATGAATGTGAAATCTAGCGCTGATGTGCATCAAAAAAGTGAACATTGTTCCACCTAAAAACCTATATTTCGGTTCAGATTAAGTGAACTCTGGAGTGATTCGAATGCATATGTGAATGCCAAGCAGATCGAAGACCACTCCAAAAGCAGGAAACAAACTACTGCGCAGGGCATTGTGGGTAAATACAACCAAAACAAACGCACAGGACAAATACTAGTGGGAGAAACGACTTGTGGTCTTTTGCCAAAGACAAAAAAGAAATCCTACAACTGCTAAAATCTGATGCTGCTCTTTCTCCGACAGAATTTCATGTCACTGGCCTGAATTAACGGTTGCATTAATTACTGCAAGTCATCAAAAAAGCGTTTAAAATGACTTTATCACCATTTCCACAACGATGGATTTCATCCATCCATCCATCCATCCATTTTCTGAACACCCTTGTCCCTCAGTGGGGTCGGGAGGGGTGCTGGTGCCTATCTCCAGCTAACGTTCCGGGCGAGAGGCGGGGTACATCCTGGACAGGTCGCCAGTCTGTCGCAGACGATGGATTTCATCTGTTATTGAATTTCTTTCGACCGGGTCAAGGCTTGTTGCTTTTTGAGATCCTTTGGTCTACTTCATGTTGTTGGACAGGTTCCATGTCTGTTTACTGCCACCGATCTGGCAGTAAACAGGCCTGATCTCTGCTAGCAAAACTGAACTCAAGAAATGCCATTAATCCATTATTTACTTGGATAACTTTTATTCTACTGTTATCTTTATCTACATTAAAATTAATTTGATGATTCCATAACGTACATTCACAGCTCTATACATTTACTCATTCCTTTCCACTACTGGTCGCTTGTCTCTCAGTGTTTCCTGCACACCTGACAGCTTTACACCCACCACCCACACAAGAAAACACACCAGGCTCATTATCACTGCTGCTCTCTGCTCCTTAATGAACCTGGTCGCGTGCAAATGTTCACACATATCAACAACCACTCCCCCCGTTCCCCCGTCTCGTTCGCTCAACCCCCCACCTTACTTTAGTAGCACGGATACCAGGCTGCTGCTTGGTCTTAATCTCCACTAATGAAGCACCTCTCTCATTGGAGACGCTCCTGTGACCCACACACACACACACAGAGAGAGGCAGACGTGCTCACAAACAGCCCTTCTAACCCCCCGGATGTCTCCAGTCCTTTTGTCAGGCCGTGGCTCGCCTTATGACAATGTGGATTAGCATTCCACGCACTCGCTCAGCTGAACTCTGCCCTGTTGTCCCTAATCACCAGCAGTCTGCCTGCTGCTGCGGCTACACTCATGCAGCGCCGGCGAGCGCTCCGCTCTAGACACAAACAGCCATGTGAACTCCCCACGGTGACCCACTTCCAAAGCCTCGGCTCAGTCTCCCGACCGTTGGGCTCCGGCACGTGACATTTCTGCAGCAGATGCACTAATGTAGCACACACAAAAAAAAAAGTGCTGTTTTGGAAGCGCTATTAGTTGCCAGGGTACTACACACATCCATGACTCTCCATCACTGTGCTCAGAGTAAAAGCACTTCGTTTTTCTGCACGGAGCGACATCTGTGCAGACATTTAACGTCCACCAGCAGCTTTAACAGCATCTGGGCTTTTCTCTTCTTCCTTTTCCACCTGAACTTTGCAGCTAAAAGCATCTTAAACCAAAGGAGGATTTTTGTGTCTTTTAAACTATTTCTAGCTCAGTTTTAAGGATAGAAATGGAATTCTGCTACAAGGACAGGATTGAGTGAGTGATTGTTCTGCTTGTGCACAAACATTTTAATCTATTTCAGCTGATTTCTGCACCAGATGAAGAATTTTGGATTTAAGAAAGAAAAGTGAAGGCTCAAATCCAGCCTCAAATCCGCTGCAGAGGGACGAGTTTCTACTCCGTCATTGTTCTATTCTTAGCAACGTGTTCATTGGTTAAAGGCGAAGGTGCCGTGAACGCAGACTGACATGCTGAAACACAGAGACGCAGCCGGGTCAGAGGTCAGGTTCTCCTCCTCGGAGTCAGGCGAAGCCTCCAGATGTCTGCCGTCTAAACGCAACAGACATGCTCAAAGTTGACTCCCGGCTATAAATACGCGTGCTGTCTCCTTACATGCATAATGAACAAACATGCATCAGCAAAGTGCTGCATGTGCCGTTTAAATTATTTAAAACGATAGTTGAAGAATAAACAGACATTCGTTTCAGACAACAGTAATGTGAGAGAAAGTTTTCCAACTCATTTAAAGTACCATCCATGCATAGGTATGCAAGAGCTGTTCTAATTTTATCACAGCTACAACCTTCAGTGTATTTTATTGGGATTTTCTGTGACAGACCAAAACAAAGTAACACATATCTGAAGCGGAAGGAAAAAAACTGCATGTTTTTCAGAATTAGTTACAAATAGACAAGCTCTGATCAATTTTTCTGCCAAGTCTTCTTTTCAAAAAAGCTCAAACGCAGTCAGA